GAAAACATACCACAAAGAAGCATCCTCTTCAACTGAACCAGCCATCATCGACAGTTAATTCCCCTTAAGATCTACAGCAAGCACAATAAAGAAAAGACAAACGAAGATGGCAGGATAGCAGCCCAAGAATATGATGACAAATAAATTTATAACATATACATATATTATTTAGTATAATATTGATAACCTGTCAATATTAAAGAAATAAGTTGTTAAAAAAATTAAACAAGTTGAGTTTTTTTATATATGAAAAAGTCATGTTCACTTATTTATAAGTGATTGTTTGGATATGAACAACATGTCCATAATTAAAACAAACACTATAACACACACACATGTATATATTATATTTTGTAGGGTTAAGGATTATTTTTATCTTTAAACTGTATACAAAAGTTCACAAATGATCTTAAAATCAATTTAGGGTCAATTTCATCCCTCAATCTCAAAATTTTGCTCCCTCTGTACCCCTGGCATTAATTATCCGTTGTGACCCACTTTATATTTAATTGTAGCGTTAGTTATCCCTTAACTTTAGGTTAAATATTTTTTAATTGTAAAATATAATAGTATGACCCACTTTATTTTTTAAAGTTCAGGATCTAAAATGCCCCTCAACTAAGTGAAAAAGGGTCAGTTATTTCTAAAGTCAATAAAGGATCATTTATATCCCTCAACTGTTAAAATTTCAATTCCATTATCTTGCTATCTATTTTGTCAAATTTTATCATTAGTGGGACCCACATTTAAATTTTTAAATATTTTTAGTGACTCCCATCATTTTTTTAATATTTTTTATAATTTTAAAAAATACCCCTATCTCTTCTCTCTCTCTTCTCTCCCTCTCCCATTCATTCCATCTCTTATTCACTCATTTTTGGATTTAAGTAAGTGGAATGGTGGTAGTAGAGCACCCAACACGTTAATTACAATCTTATTATCATTATGAATGGCCAAGCTGAAGAGTGTACTTGAAACATGTGTCCTGTGATGGTTGGTAGAGTTTTAGCACCATTTAGCAATGGTAGATTTGAGGGCAAGGTTAGGAATTACAATAGAAAAATCAGGGCTTGGAGCTATGGCTTAAAGTAAATTTTTACAAGCTTGAGGAGACCTGCTAAAAATATAAAAAATGGTGGGACTAACTAAAAATATTAAAAAATTTAAAATGAGAGCTCTACTAAAGGTGAAATTTAATAGAATAGATGACAGAGTGATGAAATTGAAAATCTTAGTAGTTGAAAAATATAGATTATCCTTTCTTGACTTTAAAGACGATCCTGACTCTTTTTATTTACTTAAGGAGCATTTTTGACCCTTAACCCATAAAAAATGGTGGAACCCATTAAAAACACTAAATTATTCTTTCTTGACTTTAAGGACGATCCTGAACCCTTTCATTTACTTGAGAAACATTTTTGACCCTTAACCCATAAACAATGGTGGGACCCACTAATTTAAATATAGGTCCCACTAATGATGATTGATGGAATAGACGGTAGGGCGATGGAATCAGAAATCTTAGTAATTGAAGGATATAAATGATCCTTTCTTAATTATAGGGATGATTGTGATCCTCTTCACTTACTTGAAGGGCATGTTAGACCCTTAACTCATATTAACTCTTAACATGTTCATGATTAACAGCAATTCATATTAATGTTCGAAAACAAAAACTGTAACATATATATATATATATATATATATTATATTTCATAATATGTTTTTAGGTGGCTTTAGTAGTTCAGTGGTGAACTATTTTTCGTAACACCTTAATTTTTTACTAAAATTTTATTAAGTTAAGGTCTTAATTTTAAGAAATATATTAAATATTTTAAATTTTTAATTCAATATATAAAAAACTACTTTATTTATGGCTTATAATATAAGTTACTTATTATTATATAACTACACGAAAGAAATTTTTTTAAAAAATAGAAAAATTAATTTTTTTAATCTTTCAACTTTTAACTCACATATAACTCAATTCCTCAATTATGACTCGCTGCGACTCAATCTCTCAACTATAATTCACTGCGACTCAATTCCTCTACTTTTGATTCACCTATAATTCGATCCTTATTTTTTAATTTTTTTTAAATTTTTTTATCAAATAAGAGGAATAAAAAAATGTTTATATATTATTTTAAAATACTCTCTTCTTACTCATTGACGTGAGATATAAACTAACATGAAAAAAATTAATAAAAGTTAAGGGACTAATTTGTAAGTGATTCAAAAATTGAGAAACTAAGTCATAAGCAAGTTATAATTAAGAATTAAATCATAATGAGTCATAATTAAGAGATTGAGTTATAAGTAACTTTAAAGTTAGAGGATTAAAAAATTAATTTTTTTTAAAAAAATTTATAATCCTAAAATTCTAAATGTTGCCAGTTGCCCTAGCACTAGCAATCGAACGTGAACGCTCTACCTCTCCCCTGTCGAAAGCCTCTACTCCATCACTCATTCACTCGTCCCTCTCCCTCTCCCCTGCCAAACCCCTCTCGCTCAGATTCTCTTCTTTCTTCTGTAGTCGACCGAACGCATCTCTGAGGCCCGAGCTCACCCTCTCGTCATCCGCGCTCGCGAGCGCTCTCCATTCTCCAAGAGTTCAGATTGAACTGTTGAAGTCGGCTGCTTGGCTAGGCACCTCCGTCTAACTACGACGGCGAGAAGCGGTATCCGCTCTTTCTTAATTTCTCAACATCGTTTTTGCATTCTCCTTTGTGTTGCTTGTATTTCTTCACTTCTGCCCTCTATTTTGCTTGTTTTCTGATATTTCTTCGAGATAAAATTAAAAATCCAAAAAAAAAAAATTGCTCTTTCAATTTGTCAGTGCCCCCGTCCCTCTGCTTTCATTTTCCTAGAGTTGGACTCCTTTCTTGTCTTGTTGACGTTGTTTTCCTGTTTTCCTTTTCATTTATAGACCTTCAAATTGCATAGATTCGCATCTCTGTTACTGTAAGTTGAAAATATACACTTATGCCATGTATATTATCTGTCAGTGTTTAATTGATCTCTTTACACTGTTCAGTTTTTGTTTCAACTTTTATATTTGTATTTTTATCTACCATGAGTACTCCTTGATCGCTCCAAGCTTTTACCTGGTGAAAGTTTTCAACATCAATTTTTAGTTAAAATTTAATTTATTTATATATAGTTATAATTTATTTATATATGTTTCTTCATACTGCTCCATCTACCCATATATAACTATAATTTACAATTTAATTTCCCTGCTTATTATGAGTCTGCTTAGTTATGTATAGTGATTTTATCATTTCAATTTTTATTTGTTTAAATTTAAATTTTTAATTTAAGATGATGGATGGTGGCTCTGAAAATAATGACACACCTACACCTACGCCGACCCTCATGCCCATTTCAAATAGCTTCTTTGCTCACAATGCTAATGTTAATATTCGTGAATTTTTTTTTCATTTTAAATAATATGTTTATGCTTATATAAGAATTTAATTAATAATTTTTAAACATATATTATTTAAAATATATTAATTTATTATTGATTGGTTTGATCTTCGGAACTGTGAACTATTATTTCGGCTGATTTGATTTTTAGAACCTTAATAAAATAATCTTTTTATTGTAAAATTTATTAATACAAAAGTTTTTGAGAATTTTAATGAAATTATAATATTTTGAGAAATTACATTATCATTTGTTTAATCGAAAGATTTTGTTGTCATTTTTTTTAATTTTAAATTACTCTTGTAATTTTTGTTTTGCACATTATAAAGTTACCATAATGCCCTTGTTCAGAAATAAAACATCATATTTAGCTTTGTGCAAATGGTTAGAATTTTAATGGATTGGGTTGGCCAATTTATCAAGATAAATGGGTTGAAAAAACCAATCCCAGCCTGTAAAATGCAACATTATTTTTTAAAAAAATGATTTAAAATTTATAATAAATAACACACACAAATTAAATCACCCCTATCTAAATCTAATTAGATAAATCTCACACAATATTTTTCCCAACATTTATCTACATCTAAAAGGCCTCTTGTGCATTGTAGGAAAGTCACGGTACTTCAAAAAAATTTAAAATCCAAACTTTTTTTTTTTGACTTAGATGTTTCACTAAAAGTAAATTTGATTAATAGAAATGGTTATAAAATTGATAAAAGAAAAAGAATTAGAATTAAAAATATTTTTGGTATAACAAAAAATTTAAATGTAATTTTAATATTATTTATATTTACTTTTTATGGATTTAGAATAAAATAGAAAAATGAAGGCAAAATATTTAAAAAAATTATTAAATTTTTATTATTAATTATCTTTTCATTTAGGTGTATTATCTGTTTTATCGAGAAAGAAAATTTGAATATAAGTTTATATTATTTTTTTAATGAATTATTATTTGTGATTTCAATCAATAAATATTATGAAATTAATAAATAATATATATTTAAAATATTTTTATAGAAATTAATAAATTATCAATTTATAAATTATAATAAAAATTTTATTTATAAATTATAAGAAAAATTTATATTTTTTTAATGTAATGAACATATTTAAAAATTATAATAAATTTAAAAATATTATTATTATTATTATAAATTTATATGAAAATATATTATAATTGAAAAATAATTTTATAGATTGAGCACACTCAATTTGTTTTAATAACGGACAAATTTTTTCAATCCAACTGGTTAACATTGACAGTTAAACAGGTTAGCATGTGAGTTTCAGCTTTTAGCTCTCACCCGTTCCCGTATTCTGCAGCTGCTGGGGGAGAGAGTTTTTGGCCTTTTTTAATTATTTTTTTTATTTTTTATTCTTTTTCCAAATCCCTCGCTTGACTCACGTCGTTCTGTCTCTGGGCCAGTGACACTCCATTGCTGCCGTCGTTCCATCCGCTCCGGCCTATCGCTGTCTCTGACCCAGTCACTGTCGCTCGTCCATAATCAGTCCCGGCCGTGTCTTCAGTCGCTCTGTCTCTCCTCCGTCGAGCGAGGTAATATTCTCCTCCCTCGTCTGCGTGTCCTAAAATTTATATAGCGGTACCCTTATCCTATAATTTTTTAAAATTGCCGTATCCACCGATCATGCGGTACCGTATCCGATGCTTGTACCCGCATCGGTGCTTCATTTCGAACTTCGAGTACTTCTTCCTCGCCGCCATCCTTCCCTTTCGTCGCCGTTATGTGAGTGGATGAGCGAGTTTTCCGGTCGTCGCTGCTGGAGGTTGTTGTTCGCCTCGATTTCCTCTTCTCCCTCCTTGTTCTGTCAACGCCGCACTGTGTGTGAATAGAGCTTCGATCCTTCCAAGTCCACTCGCTTCTGCCGCAAGAATGGAGGACTGAACCTCCTCCCTTCGACGTTGTTGTGAGAGGGATTCTTGATTCAACAACTCTCTTTTACTTCCTCCTTGTTTGTTTAGTGTGAGGTATTCCCAAATTATTTTTTTCCTTTGTGGTTACTGATGGTTGTGAGAAAAGAAAGGAATTAGCACGTTACTTGAAAATATTAGACTAGGATATTCATTTTGATTGAGGTATTTCTCTATAGTTATCTCAATAGTGAATTGCAGCAAGAAGTTAATTAGTATAAGCATCTTATTTGCAAGTCTCTTGGTCTGCCTCAGCCACTGTTACTCTGGTCTTCACTCTTCATCTCTTCTCATTGTAGCGAGGGGTTCAGGTCTTCATAAATTGTGGGCAATCCCAGGTGAGTTGTTGTTTCTTGTCGTAGTTGATGGAGATGATTCTATTATTAGCAGCGTTAGCTTAATAGCTGTCGTATTAATATGACCTAAACATTTCTCTCCAAAATTGTTTTTTAAAATTGGTTCTTGATCGCATGGTAGGTGCTTGGTGAAATACCTAATTAGAACGAAGTGAGAGCTTAAGCTAAACATGGGAAAGAAGGGAGGAGCAAAAAGATTGCCGAATTCAACATCTGGGCCTCATACTCCGATATCATTGAGGGAAGAAGCCACTGGGAAGTTGCATAAGAAGACAGGCTCAAATGTCAAGTCAATGTTGAAGCTTGATCATTTGAAAAACCTGGCCGTATGGGCTAGTCGTGAGGTTTCTATACCATCTTTGGGTGCCTTCTATGGGCAATGTTTAGCTAGTGCTGAGGAGGCCATGGGCGTACCACCACTTGATCCTTCTTTAGTAACTTGTGAAAGGTATGCTTTTCCCTTTGTTTTTCCCATATTCTTTCTACTTGCATAATTGTTTCTCTCTGATCCTTATTATCACTGTGTTTCTTATGCTTTTATTTGCTTCGGAAAACATCAATGGAAATTGTAACATGAGTACATGTCAACATGTGATCCATGTATTATATGTTGTATTGTTGTAAGTCTGAATTTTCAAGTTAATTATGTAATCTTGTCAAGCAAAGTGTTGTCACTGTACTAAGATTTCTCCTGTCCCCTGTGTGTACCTGGATATAATTTGATAAAAATAAACGTGGTATTGGCAAAAAGCTGTTATTTCAACTTTAACCATGATTTATTCCCTTTGCATTCTGTTCTTATCAAACATTGATGCTTGGCATCCATGTGATGCATTCTGGAAGCTTTTGTTTTTTTGTTTTCTTGTTAAAGATATAATTTAGGAAAGACACAATTATGGTTTTTTATAGTTTCATTGGATTTTGTTTTTAGTTCCTATATTTTTTTTTTTTTGGTGTTTTCAATCCTTATAGGGACTAAAAATGCTGAAATTATAGAAATCTGAGTAATAAATAACACCTAATTTTGTTGAAACTATAAGGATTGAAAACACTGAAAAAATTACGAGAACTAAGAATAAAATCTGATGAAACTATAAGGATTGATTATTGTGTTTTCCCTGTAATTTAATACCTATCAAACCAAGGAACTTGAGATAATCTTGAAGTCTGTACACTTTTTAAGTGTCAGCAGGCTAACAATAACTTTCAGTTATTGTTTACGTTGCTAACTATATTAGACAAAAATCTAGTTTGGATGATTTTTAAATTAGTTGGAATATCTAATTGTGCTTACCACTTAAGCTATGTTAAGTCCACTCACTAATTGTAATGGTAATTGTGAATTTTATAATAGCCACTTTAAAGTGTGTATAGCCATCATGATCATCATTTGACTGCTTTTACAGATGTGAAATTGTTCTACATCCAGGCTTTAACTGTACCATACGGATTGAGAAGAGAAGAACCAAGGGCAAACATGGACGTAAGAAGTTTGGTAATGACAGTCAAAATAGTGTGGCATACAAGTGCCATTACTGTTCACATCAGAATCTGAAGAAAGGGACCTTTAAAGGACATATGAAGGTGATATGCCCGCCAAAAGAGAAATCACCGAAGCAATCAAAACCTCGACAAGCCCTGTCACACGAATCTGGCAAATCAGAGGAAGAAATAATGAACAAAGATGAAGCCAATGACACAAATCACTCTGCTTCACGAGTTGCAGCCATAGATGTTGCCACAATACATGGTCCAGCAACGCCACCAGTTCCAAGTCTTACTACGGCATTGGAGGGAAGTAAAAGAAAGAGAAATGGGTTGGGGTCTAATAAAGCGTCTGAACTTGCAAGCATGTCTGCACAAAAAGATGCCGGAAAAGCAACAAACACATCAAGCAAAAGAAGAAGAAAATCTTGGACTAGTTTGAAAGAAATTGCTCAGAGCAGTGAGCATAATAGCAGCATTGCTAACTTATCTATTCCATTCATCTTTTAAATGGGAAAATGCTTCTTATATTGGAACAGGTAGCAATTTGAAATTTGTTTCTTTTTTTTTTTTTTCTTGACGTTTCTATGGATTATGCCGGAACGTCTTTCCAATGTCTTTCTTCTAAACGTGAAGAGAGAGGTTCAAGGGACTGTGTGGATTTCTGTTGGATAAAATTGATTTTGAAAAAAAAGTTACTTAATATGATTGATTTTGATTATAATTAATTGTGTTATGAGGTGAATTTCTTTTTCTATTATTTTCTGAAATTAATTTTAATAAAATTGAAGATGTCGGGATGATTTTAATCAAAATTAATTTAACATGTGCAAATTATTTTAAAAGATGTTGTTTTTTATAATGCAAGTACAGTTGAAGTGTGTATAATATTATTCAATTAGTTGAATACTATCTAACAAATAAATTATGTAGAATAATGATCAATTTCATATTTATATAATTATTTAACATATATATTGATTAATAATAGAAATTTAAATTATATTATATTGTAATATTAATAGTTTAATCTATATAAAAAATAAAGCAATATATCTTAGCTTAATTAAATTTAATAAAAGAAAAATATATTCTTACAGACTAGACACAAGGACTGTATGAGATTGAGATTGATGGAGGCACTTAAATATTTACCTGTATCAAATATGCATACGAATAAAGCATGATTTTATTTTTTTTTGGGCTGGTTATGCTAACCCTAGACCAACAGCTTAGATTTGTTCCTTGTTGAATGTAGAAGAGAAAGACCATTAGTGGGTGTAAACATTCATGCACTGGTTATGTGGGGGGAAAAAACACCAACAAATAACCCTGTTAAAAAAAAACCAAAAAAAAATATTCTTGAAACTTCCAAGCTTTTTTTAAGGGTGGAAAAACTAATGCCTCCCACAAAAAATTACATTATTTCCCATGACACGTCCTAAAGGCAAAGTGACAGTCCTGGAAACAGGGTAATTCATGCCAATTATTGCCTCCGTTTCATTTTACATGTAGCAACTAGTTATCAATATCAGCCACTAGAGCTAAAGAGCTTACAGGCCTAAATTTGAATTGAAATATCCACTAACATTTTAGCTAATTGAATCCAAGTTGTAGGGATCTTCAATTGACATGAGCTAGCCTGTCTACACATACTTCTTAATATCGCTTTACAATTGCAAACTACAAGATGCTTCGCTAATGGGTACTCATCTAGCAGTCCAAGGTTAACACACCATGTCAGAAGCTCTGACATAAAAAACAAAAAAGAAAGAAAGATAGACACCAGATTGCTATCAAAAGAAAGAAACCTGATGGTACAAAATGAGGCGGCCATTGGAACTATATTATATTGTCAACCAAAGTCACAAACATTTAAAAAAAAAAAAAAAAGCCTCATCTCATAGCATTTAACATTTTTTCTTCTTCTTTAACAAGTAGCTTTCCCTCCACAAAATCACAGCACGCTATTGGCATCCCAAGCTGCTTTTGCAGTTTCTTCACAACAAACACTTCTGGCTCTTCACAGATTGAAAGCACTGTACCAGACCTCCCGAGCCGCCCTGTCCTGCCAGCTCGGTGTGCATAGTGAATCGAGTCTGTGGGTAAGTCCAGATTAACCACGAGATCACACTCTGCCACATCCAATCCCCGTGCTGATAATTCATTGGTCACAAGCACTCTCACCTCACCATTCTTGAACTTTTTCAGAGTTGTTGACCGAGCAAGTTTCCCAAGATCCCCATGTAACTCTGCAGCTTTCATCCCACGTGCCTCTAGCTTGAAGACAACATCCTTAAGTTGCTTGATTTGGTTCATGAAAGCTATAACAAATTTGGCATCTAGCGCATGAATACACCTTCTCAAGGTATCAACTTTATGCTGTAACTTTGTGACACAATAATAGTGTTTTAATGCAGGAGGTAGACTCTCTGCTGCCTGCGTAAGGGTCGTAGAGTTAGAATTAGAGCTAGGCGCAGATCCTGATAAATTGACAGGTTTGGAAGGAGAAATGGTTTCAAGCAGGCCAACTTTATTGGCTTGGACAAGAAGGGGTTCATGCCCCCAGCTCCGGGCTGCCCTGACAACAGAAAATGGAACCGTTGCAGACACCATAATTGTTTGACGCTCTGATCGTCTAGGAACTGTACTATTTTGTGCGCGTGGGTCAGCACCTGATCTTCTCCCAACATGTTCTAGTATCCGGTGCAAATCCTCCCGAAAGTTAAATGACAAGAGTTCATCAACTTCATCTAGGACCAGGTAACGACAGCCATGAGTGTGAAGTTTCCCGGCTGCACTGAGCTCTGCTATTCTACCAGGTGTGCCAACAACAATGGCAGGTTTATTTTTCTTGAGAGCTTCTTCCTGCCTGGATCTATTTGCACCTCCCACAAGCTGTTGAACCGCCTTTTTGTTAGCAAGTCCAAGTATCTTCTCAAACTCCCTCACTATTTGCATACCCAGCTCCCTAGAAGGAGCAACAACTACAGCTTCTATTCCCATTTTCCTTCCAGGCTCACCATCACTGTTGCTTTCAGAAGTCTTGTTCCTCAATGGGCCAACATTAGATAGTATGGGGAGAAGATAAGCCAATGTTTTCCCTGATCCTGTGTAAGATTGAATTATGACATCATGATTATTCAAAATTGTAGGAATTGCTGCAGACTGCACTTCAGTTGGAACCGTGAAGCCTTCATTTTCTAATCTCTCAAGCAACAAATGAGGGAGGCCAAGTTCAGAAAAAGACTTAGCCGCAAACGGAGCAGACTCTATCTGCTGCTTCTTTGTGGCTCCAACTGCTTTAATGTCATTGATACGAATGGTCTTTGCTCTGCTCTTTGAGGATATAGAGGAGGAACCCGATTGCTTCAGTTTATTGGCTTTGTTATTCTTCCTAGTGTCATTTTCATTATTCAAACCGATGCTTAATGGAGTAAGCAGAGCATGTTGGGGCTCTATCTGACTTAGAGGACGGACACCACTATGCAAACAAGCTGTCCTAGAAGCAGGCAAGAAGAACCTTTGCAAGGGCAGTGTCTCTCCAACTAGCAGAACCAACCGTGCAGAGAACAACGCTGGCATCACTTTTACATAAATTATATCTTCTTTCTTCTTTTAATAGGAGAACAAAAATATGACTTCCAAAAGCCTTGAAAAGAAAAATCCCATGTCAAGCTGCTACATCAAGAGAGCATGAAAAGATAGAATCAGACATTGCATTTAGAAAATACTCCTGACTAAGACATAAATTGACAAACCATGCCTTTGATTGGCACTAGTTATACAAACAAAAGTAATATATCATCAAAATTCAAGAAAATCAGTAGCTCAAAGAACTTTGGTATCCATATATTTAAAAATATCAATCCTTTGCAAGCCAACAACAATGGAAAAATTGTAAATCAACAATCCAAGTCACATCTTCCTTAGACAAGGCAAACTTCCCCAAATGGTATATATAGTAGGACCTTAATCCTCTAGTATAATGTCAAGTCCCTAGTTCCTATCAGAAGAATATCTTAGTTATTGTTTTCTTCAAACTAATCATTACTATTGATGTCCCAATATCTTGCATTAGTTGATTATTTTCAAGATTTTTTTTTATCAAACTCATTAATTAAGAGATTGTGGTTTAATCATTTAATATAATCATTGGCAACTATATATACATGTCAGAGAGTATAAACACATGACAATTTTAACTTGAAGAACAAAAATTCCTTATCCTAAAATGTTAAAAAACAACAATAACAACAAGAAACATGCACTGGTTTCTTACCGTATGCACTGCTAAAACATATTCATTTTCCAAGGCCATCTAACAAAGCCAGTGAACAAGCATAAAGCATATCAATAAATGAGCCAAATTAATCACAGATTCACGCATAGTATAAACACAATGCCATACAAAAAACCTGCACATATACTTGTGCAATAAAACAAAGAAAAAAAAATATGCACATATACACGCATAGCAGGAACACAGTAATCACAAATTAGAATTTTTTTAATGCTGAATTCTACTAAGTGCCAATTAATTGATAGTAAATTAGACTGTTGGCTAGAATTGGTTACATTTCTGTTAGAATTCCTGCAAAGTGCATAATGTGGCTCTGAGAGTAGGAATAAATATCGTGTATCCAATACTGCATGTCAAAATCGGGGTTTCAAAATGCGGTACCATCATGTCACAAGCAAAGGGACTTTCTTTCTCGGATAAATGTTTAACAGGGTTGACCATTCTCTGAGCTTTTAAATATCCTATTCAAATGAAGCACCCTTCCAAAAGCAATATTTGTTGTGGTGTATTGACTCATACTTTTATTTCCTGTTATTATATTTTTAATCTTACCAAGCAAGACAGCAGCGAATACCCCAGCAAGAACAGATGTTTTATTTGTTGAAACAAAAACACCTTTAATCACTTAGATAATGAGAAGTGGAAAGAGAAGGAATATTCAAATGAAGGGATTCAAGAACATAGTGATGATTAGCCTATGCCTGCTATTCTGAAAGCTAATAATATTACCTCAGAATCAGATACACCAAAAGCAGCGCACTTCTAATGGAAAGGGTAGATAAATAACATGCCAGGAAAGGAAACCTCTAACCAGGGGGGGGGGGGGGAAGAAAAAAGAAAAAAGAAAATAGCCAAGCTTGAGAAATAATCATATCCATAGACACCATTCAATACTTAACATCAGACAAATATGCATCCACTTGAGAAATAAAGAAAATAACCAAGCTTGGCGGAAAACGAGTAAGAACAGAAATGGGTCAGTGAATAAAATAACAGGTGACACTTGACAGAAAACAAGGGTTCAGCGATGACGACAGCGAGAGGAACATGGGGAAACTTACCGGAGAACGCTTGACGGAAACACAATGGCAGGATGGGGACGGCTAAACGACGCACGGCGAGGGCACACCGAGGGAGAGTCTGGATGGATAAAGAGTGAAGCCAATGGTGTTTTATCTATTTAGCTCAAATATACAAAATTACCCTAAACGTTAAAGCAATTGCATAAAAAACCCTTACTTTCAAACATTTTAAATTAACATTTCTAACTTTTTATTGTTTTTAAGACCCTTATAGTTAATAATTTTGTTATTTTATTAAGAAAATTTGTCATGTCATGTTAATGAGATACACTCATACAAATGACATTTGACATAAAAAAATTAATTATTTTTTAACAA